CCACACGCGATAGTCTATCCGTAATAACGATATCCGTATCTCGTTATTACCTCGACCACGGACGATTTAAGATTCAGTCATATGTAATTTGTATCTCACAATCACAACTCCTTGTGATTAACAAATCACCAAGACTTGAATCTACGGATTCTATCATTTAATTTATTAGAATATTAATTCAATTAAATAATAGATATTGCCATATATATACATTGATTATATATATTCAAAGTGTTTATGTCCAAAATTGATTGGACCTAGGGCATAACACTTACAGTAACTTCCAAAAATACATATTTTAGGTTACATTCAAACAAACATAAAGTCACATATTTATGAATGGTTGACACATACACGCAACCTTACAAGTTACTGTTACACAACGTAGTATGCACAGTCACATAACATATTACAAAAAATTTAGATAGCAACCCTCATAGATCAAAGTCACACAATGTAATGGCAACATTCACACGAAATGATATTTTTGCAAAGAAGCGTGTTTTAGGTTACATTCTTCAGTTGTAACCTATAAATTGTCACATAACATATTACATAAACTGTTTACAAAAGATTGTTTAATTTTGTGCTTCATCAATATATGCAAAAACGAGGTAGATAATGTGCCCAATTATTCTGGAGAAATTGGGGGGAAAAAAAACAATTATTCTGGAAAAATCAAGATGGGAATTTGTGGCCAATTTCTTTATCTATTCTTGATAATTATGTCATGGAGGTCCTATAATCTATTTTCTGTTTTAGGATTTGTGAGAACGTTGGGAGGAAGAAAATTGAACGGTTATAAGATGAGAGATAATAGTCATCAATTATCATTTATTAGCATTCAATTTAAGTCACGTTTTTCTTTTTTAAAACTCGTAATCAAAAATTTAGAAAGGGTAGTATTGATTTACGACCAGGTTTTGAAAAAATTCTATAAGCTTGATACTTTTTAGAGATGACAACGGAGCTGATAAGAGACGGGTCAACCATTCACATCCTCCGTCCAGCCGAGTATTTTTGTTATATTGTCCCACCCTCATACCCGATTATAGAGGGATGGAACACGACGGGACGGGACGGGATGGGATGCGGCGGGGCCCAGCCCCATTTTTCGTCGCTTTTTTATTTATTTTATTTATTGATATTATTTTTTATATCTTTAGTTGGTGAATATTATTATTATTTTTTTAAATTGGTTGAGAACAACTAATGTTCTCTTTAAAAATGATGATAAATCGTTTCTTTTATTTAATAAAAAAATTAAAATTTGAAATTAACTTTAAACGAGTCGGGTAACAGTGCAAAGACTGTGCTCTCCTAGGGTTGGATATAGTCAGGTCCAATTTGATTTTAAAGAGAACGTTGCCCAAACCTTCGGGTATTTAGTAAATGGAATCGTCTGGTCCAAATTTAATTATGAAACTACTCGAGTTCGATTCGGTTCTATCCGATTTTCGTACAATAATTATTTTTTTATATATTTAGAACAACGTTACATTAATTTGACTATGATATGTATAATATTAACTTTTACAAAATAATGTAGTCCAATCTCGTGATATATTTTGCGTTTCTCTTTGTTGAATTCTTCATAAATTTGGAAGAGGAAGATGACGAGTTCACAATAATAGAACGATAGAAACGACACTACGGTAGAATAAGATATTTGAATAAAACTTATAGCAATTTGATTAAGCTGGTCTTTGCT